ATGAGGTCCCCTATGCCAAAAGATTCAAGCTTTATCAAGCATTGGCCAACTTTCATGCCTTAAACCCTCTATTGAGCTTTGGGTTGGCAAACTTAGCCCTAGATGCCATGCATAAATGTAAAGCTTGCAGCTTTTCGTGGTATTTCAACCTTGGGAGGCTAGATCTAGAATATGTGGCTTTGGTTCTGCTTAAAAACGTCTGAATGAGAGAATGGACTGAAGGGACTCGACGAGTTGGTGAGCCAACTCGACGAGTTGGTTAGGGTTTTCCCTAATAGTATGGACGCGTATGAACTCGGCGAGTTGGTGAGACAACTCGGCGAGTTAAGGTTGGATTTTTCTGATAATTCAGAGAAACGAAGGAACTCGACGAGTCGCATAGATGCACTCGACGAGTTGGGTCAACATGGATTGTTGACTCGAGTGTTGACTTCCGTTGACTTTTAGGGTTTGGTCAAATTATGGATTATGGAGACCATGGAGGGGTAAAATGGTCTTTCACCCTTTCCGAGAGTTAGAAAAGGGGTTAACTTGACATCTTTAGAGTTGTTGTTATAAAGTGTTAATTAGAGATGATTATGATATGTAGGCGGAGTCTAGACCGATCGTTGAGTATGATACCTACTTGCTTACGTACGAGGTGAGTCTTCTCACTATACTTACCTGAGTGGTAATATTGTGTGACCGACGGGTCTTATTTAAATTATTGACCGAATGGTCTTATTTGAGTTACTGACCGGAGGGTCTTTGTGCTTATTCTGAGTTATTTGATATCATGCATTTTGTCTTTGTGAATTATGTTGTATATTATTTTGTGCCTTATTGAGTTAGGACCGGAGGGTCCAAACCGAGTTGAGGGATCGGAGGGTCTTCACTGAGATATCGGACTGGAGGGTCCGACCCGAGCTGTGAGACCGGAGGGTCTTATTTGAGACACATGACCGGAGGGTCCTTATTGAGATATAGCCATGAGAGGCTAATTATTTGTGTGTGGTATTTTGGGGAACTCACTAAGCTCCGTGCTTACAGTGTTGTATGAAATGTGTTTCAGGTACCTCTCAGGATCGCGGGAAGGCGCCAGCTTGATTGTACACACTAGCTAGAGATTATGTTTTTGGAGGATTCTGAGATGTTGTTAAACATTTTGTTGTCTTGTGTTTTGAATAACTTATACATTTGGGTTTTTGAGAAAATGAGATTGTGTTTTATGAGGTTTTAAAAAATATGAATGAAAAATTTGTTTGAAAATTTAGAGTGTTACAGTATAGATAAAGATTGTTCCATTAAAAGTTGTGTGTTTCATATGGAGGGCGAGGCTTGGGAGGATTCATGTTGCAGATACTTTAAGGAAAAGAGGAGTTCTTGTTTCATCCTCCAACTGCCTCAATTGTAATGAAGATATGGAAACAATAAATCATGCTCTAGTTAGATGTTCGTTTTCTCGGAAAGTGCAGGAGTAGATTCTTAGATTGTGTGGAATTTCTTATAAAGAGTTTTTAGACGTGGCAGAATTTCTCAACTTTGCAGTAAGTTGGGGCAATTATCCTAGAAAACGCAAGCTTCTTTTAGCTATCGTTTATGGGTTGCTTTAAAGACTATGGAAGGCGATGAATGATAAGGTTTTTCACAGGGCGACTTAGTCTCCCACCATTGTGGTGGATGATGTTATATCGCTTGTTTTTACTTTGTATAAGCATAGGGAAATAATACAAGTAGATGGGTAGATTGGTGTTGCTCCCATTTTTTATGTATCTAATGGTCTACTACAACCTTTGCTAGTTGTAGGCCTTTTATTTAATTTTATTTGCTGTTTCCAAAAAAAAAATTAAAATAGTATATCTTTGACCAAGTGTACATAAAACACTTTTGTTGTACTATATATTTATTTAAACATTTTTTTTAATGAATGGAGTATTAATAAATATCTGTAATTCTCTTCTTTTAATTAAAGTCTTGATTCTAGTTCGACGGTATCAAATGTTACACTCTCATCTTAAAGTTGAGGTTCAAGTCCGGTCGTGGACGTATGTGGAATTAAGAAATTGTTTAGAAGTAAATTAGATTTTTCGTTTAACAAAAAAAAAAAAAAAAAAAAAAAAAAAAAAAAAATCTAAGTTTTAGGTAAAAACTATTCATAAATATATGAAACTCCAGTCACATATATAGTAATTCGTATTCCTTTTAATTAATTAAATAATACCTAAGCATGAACTTCACATACGCATTAATGGTATAATTAACGAGATAGTCTAATTATCTCTCTCCATTAAATTATTTATGCTAATGTCGTTTCTAGCTACCAATCATTAGGGAGGAGTGAATTGTTCGGTTTGGATGATTTTGGGTTGGAGGTACCAGGGTACCTCCAAAGTAACTAATCTCACTCATGGTACCGTTAGATTTGTGCCTATTTAGTGTTTCAAGCGGCTTATGTGCCCACTGAGTTCCCCCTTTCTCTCTCTCATTTTTCTTGTATATTATGTTTTTTTTATTTGTATCATATTTGTTTTTATATTTTTAATTGAGTGGTTTGAGAAAGCTGTTATTTTTATATGTTATGAGTCGGAAATGATGAAAAAAAAAACTTATATAGAGATGATGTGACAATAGAATTGAATAGGTTGAGAAGGAACCATTCCCTAATCTCATAGTGAATAAAATTACAGAAGTATAAGTTATTATAAAAGGAATTTGAGAAACATTTAGCCTAACACACATTTGAATTCCTTAAATAACAATAAATTGTAATTATCATATATATCATATATACCACCATAAAAATATTATAATTGAATTGTATGGTCGAAATATGATACCATTGTGACCATTCATATTGATTGCTCTTGGTAAACCGATAAAACAAAAGAATCTATTTCATATGGTTAGTATGCATGCGTGTGGTTCTTTTTTATTTTTGCTGACTGAAATAAAGCTAAGAATTATTATTATTTATGGAGTAATCTTCATAGTTGAAAATTACTATATTTACATACAAATAAACTATTTAACAAAGATTATAAACCTATTAAAAATTTGATGTTCATGTATTTAAAATTGCAAGCAAAAGTATTAGATTTCAACTTTAGAAGACGGAAGTATTTTTCTTCAATAAAAAACAAATAAAGACAAAATTTTATGAATATATATCGGAATGAAATAAAACAACATAACAATCTCACCAAAAAATTCATCAAGTCAATATAATATTCTTAAAAGAACAAAAAAAAAAAAAAAAAACAAGTTGGGGGTACACTTGCAATGCTATCAAATATTCTTAATTAAACTACTAAAAGGGTCCAATACTCCATGGCCAAAACATGATTCTCCTTCTACCTTGTAAAATTTTTAATATCGTATTAGTTAATTTAATATGTTAAATAACTTTAACACGTACAAAAAATAGAAAAACTGTTTACACCAAAATATATATATATATATATATATATATATATATATATATATATATATATATATAGAGGTTTAGGTTCTATGGAAAGTAAAAAACCCTAAAAAAAACCCTAAAAATCATAAAAATGCATAAAAAAAATAGTTAGATATCACAAAACTTTTTTTAAAATTTTTTTTAAATAATATCAGCTTTTTCTTAAAATTCGCTGAAAAAAAAATCAATTTTTTTTTTATAAAATAAAAAATCAAACTTTTTTTTTTATAAAAAAAAATCAAAATTTTTTTCAGCGAATCTGTATAGAAAGCTGCGATTTTTTCAAAAAAAATTCAAAAAAAAGTTTTGTGATCTCTAAGTATTTTTTTTATGCATTTGTATGATTTTTAGGGTTTTTTAGGGTTTTTTTGTTTTCCAAATAACATTTCTCTATATATATATATATATACACACACACTGTGGGTTCATTAATGAGAAATCGGATTAGTTGTATAAAAGGAACTTATATATTTTAATAACCAACACGAATAATGGTTTACTTTCTTTTTATTTTTTTGTTAATTTAAGTTTAATCAAATGAATAAACGAGCATAAAACACATAAACAAAAAAAAAACGTAAATAGTAAATAAGTATTAATGTCCAAATGAAGAATTATATAGAAATTAAATTATTATCAAATCTTACAATATATAACATCAAAAAATCAGTAAACATTCCTAAACAATAAAATCTACTCTAATAAATGAATATTTTTTTGTCACGTGTTACATTCTCATTCAATTTGTCAAATGTAATTTTGTAGTTATTTTAAATTAGTTTTTTCTACATGTCATTTTATGGGGTTTCTTATTGTTTTTTAAATTCCACATAATATTTTAAAATAATTTCAAATAATAAATGTAGTAATAAATGGATATCAACTTTTATTAATGGACTTATCTTCTAATTTCAAAATTCTCAAATTAAAGTTTATTAGTTTCTTTTGTTTATTTATTTAAATTATTTGTTTAAATTTAAAAGATAAGAAACACATTTTAATTTTTATAATTCATTATTTTTTAATTTTTTATAAATTCAAAGTTATCAAATATTTAGAATTTTATATTTAACATTTTTTTAATTAATCCATATAATACATGGGTCTCACAAGTAATCAACTATAAAGAAAACAATAATAGATAATAATATTGTTTTAAAAAATTTAGATAATTAATTTAAAACAAAAACATAATAAATTTATTACCTAATATATATTACAAACGATGGTTCGCAATGAAAAATATTGACTTTGACTAAATATTTATAAGGGATATTTATAGGCTAAGACCACACTTTATGTAATATATATCATCATTATACATATTTCTTTTATTAATATAGACTTGCTATAACCATGCATTCGACTTAAATAAATATGCTTTAAATCTAAAAGATTTTTTATTAAAACAAAATAATTATACAATAGTTTTAAAATAAAGTTCAAAAGAATTTTCATTATAAATGAGTATTAAGAAAACACTATCTAAATCTTCCTTTTAAAATTTACCATAGGAGCATTTGATGCCCATCTTTTTCTCTCCATCCCCACCCCCACACCCACGCCGCCCTCCTACCTTGTGCCTATAAAACACCTCTCGCTCTCTCTATACCCTCCCTCTCACCACGTAAATAGAAAGCATACTTCTCTACATTTCTCTCTCCTCACTTGTTAATCAATGCCACAAATTAATATCGATTTAAAGGGCTTTTAAGCACTATATATATATTCCACTAGAGGGTGTGAGATTGTGAAAGCGATTTAAGTTACAATCTTTCTTTCGGCCAAAAAAGTGAAGGTTTGGAGAGAGAGTGACGGAGAGAGATTTCTCTAGACAACTCCCTCTCACTTTAAAATTAAACTTTTTTTTCTCCATCTCGCCTAGCAATTGATACCTCACTTCCAACTCCCAACTCTCCTTTTCAAAAGATTCACAAGAGAAATGGTGAGTTCACCCTCTCTTCAGTTTGACCATCCACAAAATAAAAGAATAAGATGATGTTTTTTTTCTTCTAGGAGTTGATCACTTAACCTATTAGGGTTTTTTTGATTATGTGTTGCAGGAAGTGGAACAAGAACAATCCAACATATGGGAAGGCTATGTGGATTGGAAGAAGAGACCTGCTATCAAAGGCCACCATGGTGGCATGTTTGCTGCCTCCTTCGTGTTAGGTAAAGTTGATCAAAGTCAAGATCGAAACTTTTTTCAGTAAGGTTTATCCTTTCTATTAGATTTACACATATTTGATATGGGTTTTTGAAATCGTTATATGGATGATCAATCTTTGTTATCAAATCGTGATGGGTAAATTTTCTTTATTTAGTTGTGGAGGTGATGGAGAACTTGGCATATTTGGCAAATGCAAGCAACTTGGTTTTGTACTTGATACAACACATGCACTTTTCTCCTTCAAAAGCAGCAAATCATGTAACAAATTTCATGGGCACTGCTTTTCTACTTGCTCTTCTTGGTGGCTTTTTATCTGATGCTCTCTTCACCACTTATCACATCTATCTCATAAGTGCACTTGTTGAATTCTCGGTAAATCTCTCTCTCTCTCTCTCTCTCTCTCTCTCTCTCTCTCTCTCTCTCTCTCTCTCTCTCTCTCGGGCATAAATATGTGAATGATTATCCATCGAAAAAATTGCTTTACCATCGGAGGCCACGTGTTTTAGATTAACTTTTTTAAAGTTTGGAACGGTTAAAACAAGTTTAAGTGTGACAATATAAAGTATAAAAGATGATGCATGATTGATGCAAATGCTATCATTTTAACTTCAGAAAAGATTTGTAAGAAGAATGAAAAGCAAAAAAGATGTGCCTCGATTGATGATATAAATTACCCTTTGGTGGCAAACTTTTGGTAAGTGCAACAACTTCCATGTGTTAATTTGAATAATATATTTGTTACAATTATCATCTATATATAAATAAGGTGTGAAGTCATATACTCATAAATGGCATGACGACTAGTTATATTTTGATTTATTTTATTTAATATATATTTTGATATATCTGCATTTTAATTTATTTTATTTAATGTATATTTTGATATATCTGGCATGGCTTCCCAAACAACTTGTGTGCTAAAATATGGATTCACGCGATGCAACCGTTACACACTAATTGTCTAGATGACCAGTTGTCACACGTGAATCAAATTTGCCCTGCGCAAGTTAGAAGCTACAATTTATATGTGCTTGTGTTCCTACAATCTTTAGGTGGTATGTGTGGTGTCACATTTGGTTCACTGTCTCTTAAAAGTTGTCACATCAATCCCACAATTATTTTGTCACAATACATGTTTAACTTGTTATTTAGGAGGACCAGTAAGTGCAGTTGCAAGAAAAAATTGAAAAGTTAGATAAACAATGATTTGGTTTTCTCTCTCATCTCCAAGCCTTTGGTGAGAAATATATAGTTCGAACTCAACATGTCGAATGAGAGGGAAGAGTGGGTGTAAGCTAGGGATGAGATTTAGAACCGGAAAACCGGACCGAAACCGGAACCGGTTCCGGTTCCGGGTTTAAAAATTGGCTTTATCCGGGTTCCGGGTAATCCGGGTTTGGGTCCATCAGGTCCGGGTAAACCGGGTCTAAAACCGGAACCGGTGTTAGGAACCGGAACCACTTTTAAGGTCGGAACCGGTTTTTGTGAAACGTTTAAAAGATCCATATCTCATTCGTTTCAACTCCGATTGACATACGGTTTTTTCCAAAGTGTAGTTTAAAGTTTGTACATGATTTTAGACTATAAATTTGCCATTTTTAGTTTTATATTCATTGACTTACAGTCCCCCAAAGTCGAGATATCAAAACTGAAAGTTTTTAGTTTTTCAGTTTTTTTGTATTCTGTAAAAGTTTTAAAACATGCATATCTAATTCGTTTGAAGTCGGATGGACATATGGTTTTTTCCAACTTGTAGTTTACAGTTTGTACATGAGTTTAGACTATAATTTTGTCATTTTTTGTTTAATATTCAATGATTTAAAATCCCCCGAAGTCGGGATATCAAAACTGAAAATTTTCAACTTTTCAGTTATTTGTTTGGGTAAAGGGCACAAAAGACACTACGTTTACACGAAAATTCTAATTTGACACTGTGTTATTTTTTGTCTCAAATTTGATACTGTGTTTTCCAATTTGTAACAATTTTGACCACTTGACCGATCAACCCGGTTACTTGCTGACGTGGCATGATGACGTGTCAGTTTTGATGACGTATGATGCTGACATGACATGCTAACGTGTCACAATTGAATTTTTTTTCCACAAAAGACACTAAGTTTTCATTTTTTTCCGATTTCGACATTAAGTTTTTTTTTTCAATTTTAACACTCTATTTTTTTTGTACCAAATCGAAAATCATTTTTCCAATTTTGTTCAATGTCGATCATTTTCTATTTGAAACCTTATAATTATTTAATTGTAAATAAAAATATGTGTAAAATCTACAACAAAAAATAAAATAAATAACATTTCATAATTAATAATTGATAAAATTTTGTTATTCTTATTTGAAGTTTATGGTTAGTTCGGCTCGCATTATATAACTAAAAATATTTATAAAACATATGCGTAAAAAAAACTTTGTATTTATATAAAAATATGGTTTTTAAATGAAAAAAAAATGTTTTTATAAGGTTTAAAATGTAATAAAAAAATATTTATACGGTTTCAAATGGAAAATGGTCAGCATTAAACAAAACTGAAAAAAATAATGTTCGATTTGGAACAAAAAAATAAGGTGTCAAAATTGAAAAAAAAAATTTGAGACTTAGTGTCAAAATCGAAAAAAATTAAAAACTTAGTGTCTTTTGTGGAAAAAAAATTCAATTTTGACACGTCAGCATGCCCCGTCATCACAACTGACACGTCATCATGTCACGTCAGCAAGTAACCGGGTTGACCGGTCAAGTGGTCAGAATTGTAACAAATTAGAAAACACAGTGTCAAATTTGAGACAAAAAATAACACAGTGTCAAATTAGAATTTTCGTATAAACGTAGTGTCTTTTGTGTTATTTACCCTATTTGTTTTTGTACTTTATATTCTATGAAAATGTTAACACATGCATATCTCATTCGTTTAAAGTCAAATTGACATACGGTTTTTTCTAAAGTGTAGTTTAGAGTTTATACATGATTTTAGACTATAATTTTGTCAATTTTGGTTTCATATTCAATGAGTTACAGTCCCCCAAAAGTTGTGATATCAATATGAAAATTTTCAAAGTTCAACCCACTAAATAATAAGTAATTACCAAAAAATTCTGATTTTCCGGGTTTTCGGTTCTAAACTCACTTTATCCGGTTCCAACCTACTCACTTTGATGTTTCCGAGTTTTCCGGTTTTAGACCCACTTTACCCGGTACCGTACCCGGAACCGATTCTTATATACCGGTCCGGTTTCCGGTTCTACAAAATCTCGTTAACCGGTTCCGGATTTTCCAGGTCCGGGTCCATCTGGTCTGGGTTTGGACCCACTTTCATCTCTAGTGTAAGCACTTGCCGTAGCCACTACGAGGACTTAAACACTAGTTACATTTATTAACTATATAAAAATATAGCTAAAATAGTTAATATCTCTTATGGATGCACGTGCGCACACACACAAATATATATATATATATATATATATATATATATATATATATAGACTATGTATTATTAAAAGATTAATATCAAGCAATGTAATTAAAAGTTTAAACTCCAATAAATTGCATCGTATATTTAGCAAAATAAAGCAGGAATGAACGGATTTAGAGTAATCACTGACATTGCCATTAATTAATAAATATAATCATATGACACTTAAATGGAAATGGAAAATACAAGAAAATGATAAGGGGAAAAAGAAATTTAATAATCCCAAAAGTCATATGTGTCAAATTCATTTAGAAATTGATATTTAACAAAAAATAATCTTTATTTATTTGGGGTATATATATATATATATATATATATATATATATATATATATATATATATATATATATATATATATATATATATATATATATATATATATAACTAACTTCAGCAATTAATAGGAGAGCTATATTGCTAAGCTATATTTGGCATACAAACTAAAAATTTAGCACACACACATATAAATTTTGAGAACATAAATATTTATACGTAAGTTAAGAACTACAAATTCAAACATAATTTTTCAAATTCAAAAACACAAATATTAACGAAATACAACGTCTAAGTCATATCTAGACTCAAAAACAAAGATTTGACAAAAAAATTTTGAAATATATATATATATATATATATATATATATATATATATATATATATATATATATATATGTTGATGCATACATTCACATTTGCGTCCGCAGTTCATATGACTGTTGATGCATGCATTCGTATCTTTGTCCGCAATCCATATATATGACTACGGGCGCGTAGTTTTTCAATTGTGGATATATGGTTCACAAGTGCTCATATATTTTATAGTTCACACAATAACTAAGTCATATATATATATATATATATATATATATATATATATATATATATATATATAAACTAAATTTGTTTTTTTAATCAAATTAATGTGTTTTAATTGAAATACTCCAAAAGAATCTGTACCATAAAAGACATGTAGAATTGTCATATTGTATTCTAAAAGCCACTATAAATAATCACATATTTTTAAACCAACTCAATTAATTATTATAATTGCTTAGGTTATCTTTTACGCACAAGCCGAAAAACTAGATAATAACTACAACAATATTTGGTAGCAAATAAAAAATGTATTTTAGTAAAACAAACCGATAAACTAGTTAAAATATATAAAATGATATGTAGAAGATTAAGTTTTTTATATTTAATAAATGGTATATTTTTTTTACGATAATTTAAATAACTCAATAAGTCTGTTAAAATGTTAATTTGAGTTGTTTTCAAAAAAGTTAGCATAAATTTATTTGTTGGTTTTACAAATATGACAAAATAAAAAACTTAAAAATGAAATAGCTTATAAACTTGTTAGTTGTTTGACGATCGTAGATACTATATTTCTTTAAAAAAAATGTTGAAATAATTACTTTTACATGATTAGTTACATCATTATTTGGTGGGAATTTGTTGAAATAATGAGTTATTTAATTAGTTACATCATCATCATTGATTCTAATTTGTTGCAATATTAGTTAATGTACTATATTTGATAAAAGAATAATTAAATTATGTTGACAAAATTGTAGAGTGCTCTTTACTGATTACTTTATAAAATACAAGTACAATGATTAAAGTACATTTAGCATTTTTCTATTTTCATAAGTTTAAACGTGAAAACTTTTTTGGTTAAAAAGTTTTATGATGTGTAGGGCCATACCTCATGTAACAGATAAATTCATTTTATTGTTTCGGAAAACAAAAACAAGATAGACTTCGATATCATTAATGTCTTATCCTTTCTAATGCGTTCTCGATAAAGGTTGTTGCATTCACAGTTGTACCACGTGATACCACCTTTCACTTCACACTTTAATGTTCAAACTTGAATATACCTTTAAATTTGGATCTTTTTAACGTCAAAATAGTACAACTTATAAAAATATAACCACGTAAATTACCACGAGGGTAGCACTCAAAAGCCAAAAGTATGGATAACGTCCTTTGATTGATGAGACGACGGTCTTAAAATTGGGTGAAAGACAATATGATTCAACGAGTTTGATCCTTGTAGAGTTGTAGGACAAAAGTTGATCATACAAGAGAATAAAAACGTTTTTTGCATGGAAAAAAAGCACTTAAATTTCACAACACTATACTTTACGTAAGAGTCACGAGCAATATCTTGTAACATGACATGTTCGATACATTGGTGGAGCTAGTAGGGGAGAAGTGGATGTTAACTTTGCCTGCAAGACTACAACCACTTAAAGTTCACTATACCTATAGCCCATCTTTCATTTTAAGCCTTTACTCTAAAATTGATCTTTTTAAACGCTGATATTCAAAAATCTTGGTTCCTTCCCGATTTGATATAATTTAATTCTATTTTTCTACATGATAACGTTGATTTTCATAGTCTAAGTTTTTTGTCTTATTATTCTTACTTTAGATGTAAATTGACAGTCGAGTCTTTAAAAAACCATGTTTAAAGTCCAAAGTGGCATTTTAGTGGGATATGATGTTTAGATTTTGGGTCAATTTTGCTAGATCGAGATAATGACATCCACACAAAAATCCACCTTTTCTTATGGACAATTGTTATTAGTACTACACACATTTTTAAGTATATCTAATATTTTTATATCGGGTCATGTCAGGATTTTAACGATCTGTTTTTGATATCTATCTAGGGTCTTGTGATACTGACAATACAAGCTCGTTCATCATCTCTAAAGCCACCCGAATGCAACCCTATAGAAGCCACAATCCCATGTCAAGAAGTGCAAGGTGCGAAAGCTGCATTGCTTTTCTTGGGCCTTTATTTGATTGCGTTAGGTGTAGGGGGCATAAAGGGATCATTACCTGTACATGGGGCTGAACAGTTTGATGATAATTCTATAAAGGGAAGAAAGCAAAGATCAACGTTTTTCAACTACTTCATGTTTTCCCTTTCTGTTGGCGCTCTCATTGCTGTTACACTCGTGGTTTGGATTGAAGATAACAAAGGATGGGAATGGGGTTTCGGTATCTCTATGTTGACTATCTTATTGTCTATCCCAGTATTTCTAGCTGGCTCTGGTTTTTATAAGAACAAAATCCCTTCCGGAAGCCCTCTCACCATGATGTTTAAGGTAATAATGTTATGAATTACAAAAAATTTAAAGCTTTCAGTCCTAATTTACATTTTTGGTCTTCGGTAATCTTTCTATCTACTTTTTCATTTGTTCCATCTAGGTCACTAAACTTTTAATCGTGCTCCCTATGTAGACATTTAAAGTTCATTGACCCAATGGAACAAATTACGTATTAGGTTGTCATTTTACGACTTCTTGACCTTAGTTTTATGTGAAAAATACTATTTTACCCCTAGAAATTATTACTCACTTGAAGTACGGAGAGTCGCTATCACCTTTGTTGCAATTGTTTTCTTTGAGTGTCTTCAACACTTCAAACTTGTTATGTCGATATTTATCCCTTTTGGTGATGCAGGTACTGATTGCGGCAATATTAAATGCTTGTGTCGCAAGAAGTCCAAGCAATGCGATCGTGAGCATGTCATTGTCGCCAAAAGATACCCAACAACAACAAACTGTCACAAAAGATCTTGAAGAAACCGAAACCCCGACAACAAGTCTAAAATTCTTAAACCATGCAACCACAAACAAACCAGCTTACACTTTCCTCCAATGCTCAGTCAAACAAGTTGAAGAAGTCAAAATTGTCCTAAGAGTCCTTCCAATCTTTGGTTGCACCATCATGCTCAATTGTTGTTTGGCCCAACTCTCCACATTCTCAGTCCAACAAGCCTCCACCATGAACACGAAGATTGGGTCGCTAAAAGTTCCGGCAGCCTCCCTCCCTGTTTTTCCGGTGATGTTCATCATCTTCCTTGCTCCGATCTATGACCATATCATAATCCCATTTGCCCGAAGAGCTACAAAATCCGAAATGGGTGTTTCACACTTGCAACGTATTGGAATTGGATTGCTTCTTTCAGTAATGGCCACCGCTGTGGCGGCTCTGGTTGAGATCAAACGCAAACGGATTGCCATGAGAGCTGGAATCAACCCTCACGAGCCATTGCCGATTACATTTCTATGGATTGCGTTCCAATATTTGTTTCTTGGATCTGCTGATCTTTTCACGTTGGCCGGATTAATGGAGTTCTTCTTCACCGAAGCTCCGGCGAATATGAAGTCTTTAGCCACCTCACTATCATTTGCGTCGTTGGCTATGGGGTACTACCTGAGCACTGTTATTGTGTCGGTTGTGAACAGCGTCACGGGGGACTCCGGCCACCCTGGATGGTTGTCGGGAGAAAACTTGAACCATTACCATTTGGAGAAGTTTTACTGGTTGATGTGCGTGTTGAGCGCACTGAATTTCCTCCATTATTTATTTTGGGCTCGCCGGTACAAGTATCAATCTACAGGGGCTAAATTGTAAACTATGGAGAAGTTGGAGGTGTATTGAAGAGACTGCTACAAAGTCGGCAGTTTCATATATGACATACATCATCAGGATGCCAGGATGTGATATATATAAGATGCAGCAATTTGTAGTTTTACATCTCAATATAAGATGCAGTTTGTAGTTTTACATCGCACACCCTTCATTTTATGATTTATAGCCCATCGATCGATAGTACTTTTCACTTTTTAAGTTTCCTAGCTTTATATAAAATTAACAACCTTATAGGTCTAACAAGAAATTACATGCAAAACAAAAAGGTATAGGCACGCTATTGTTAGAAATCTATACATCTAATTGCATAAGTATTCTAAAGATAAAGAGTTAACAATCTATACAAGAAGTTATAAATTCAAATACAAACATTACTTTCTTTTCTTTCTTTTAGAAACGTTGTAATTTGAATCCTTTGTTTTGGCGGTAGACCGGTTTGTAAGGGACTCCTAAGGGTTTCTTATGCTTTTTACATCTACTTGGATTTGCATAAACATTATGACTAAAAAACACAAGTTCAAATCGGAAACAAATAATACTCAATGATCCGGGATCTTCTTGTTACTTGTATGTTAAAATAAATAATTCTTAAAATTACAAACTAACATTTTGTTATAAAATAAGGTAATTCGTAGATACATGTGTAAAAGGGTATTTCAGGTAAACATGCACAATATAGAAGGGGGCAATATGTTTAGTTTGATATGTGCCCAGGTTAACACGCGGATCCTCGGGTTGAACATGACCCAGATATTTGTAACACCGTAAATTTCAAAACAATTTTTCGCTTTTTAAAATATAATTTCATTCATAAATATTCTCGAATTCCAATGTATCACATATCAAATCCATAAAAACACATCCCAAGATCATAATATATAAAACTCCAATAGTGTGTACTGATCATGCCGGCGCCTTCCCGCGATCCTCACTGGTACCTGAAACACATAACACAAAACACTGTAAGCATAAATGCTTAGTGAGTTCCCCAAAATACCACACACAACACATATTAGCCACTCGAGGCTATAACTCTGTTTGACCCTCTGGTCAATATGTCTCAGTGGGACCCTCCAGTCTCATAACTCTGCGGGCCCTCTGGCCCTAACTCTGTGGACCTTCCGGTCCTAACTCTGTAAACTTTGAACATACATAGCATAAATCACATAGAAATCACATCATGCAAAAGCATACAAAATACTCTGTCACATAACTCTAATTACCACCCTAGGTAAAGTATAGTGAGAAGACTCACCTCGAGTAACTCGGTAAACCTCGAACTCTGAAATACTGCACTAGCCTTCACCTAATCACATAAATAAATTCTCTAATTAATACAACTTCTAAAGGCTAGGCCAACTCCTCTCTATAAGTTCTCTAAGAGGGGTAAAAGACCATTCTGCCCCTCTAATGGCTCATAAGTCCAAACACTGACTAATCCCTAAATGTCAACAGAAGTCAACAGTCAACATTGACCAGACTCGCCGAGTGCACTAGAGTGACTCGGCGAGTACATGCCTGCCTCCTCGTCCCTGGTCCTCACTTGACTCACTGAGTCAACCCTATACTCCCCGGGTCGTTACGGATCGCGAATCACGGGGCAACCCGACTCGACTCGTCGAGTACCTTATGGACTCGGCGAGTTCCTCCCATGAAAACTCTCAAAAGATCTCTTGAGGTCAGATCTGCTTCACCAAACAGTAGATCCATCCTTCTAACATTCAAAAGTCACGTAAAGGTGCAACCTTTACGTGCATGCAACCCATATCAAGCCTCAAATGGAGAAATATCACTAGAAATGGCAACCTAGACTCCAATTGCTTATTTGCTTGCAAAAAGCTAGAAGGTAGTGACTCTATGGACCTCTCAAGGTCCAGATCTGATATCATCAACACAAAGGGGACCTCATACTCACTAGATCTTATAAAAAAGGGAGGTAAAAACCCAAAAATCATGAAATCTATCATATCAATACGAAATAGAAGGGATTATACCTCCAGAGACAATATCTCAAGATGATTAGCTCTAATCCAAGCTCCCTTCACGTTCTAGATGGATCCTCTCTTCTTTCTCTAGCAAAAATCACCCCAAAAAGAAGATTATAAGCCCTTTCTTGCACTCAAGCCTTCCTCACTCTCTCTAGGGTTTCTCTGGAACAAGGTGGCCTCAAATGACGGCCATAAGGGCCTTTAAATAGGGCACAAGCCTCGAAAATTAGGGCTTAATTTAACAGCAAGGACTCGCCGAGTCCACGCATGGACTCGTCGAGTCCCTTCATTAAATCCAGGCTGGCAGAAGCGCGATTCCACTCGGCGAGTCTGAGCGCCGAGTCCCTTTCTAAAATTCAACAAAATACTTAAAATAAGATACCTGGGTATCCGGATGTTACAATTCTCCCCCACTAGAATCAGACTTCGCCCTCGAAGTCCTGCTCGGCAAACAACTCTGGATGCTGCTCTCGCATCTCCGACTCCAGCTCCCAGGTTAGCTCGGACCCCTTCCGATATTGCCACTGGACCTGCACCAGTGACACCTCCTTGTTCCTCAGAACCTTGATCTTCCGATCCCGAATCGCGATTGGCCTCTCCGCATAATTCAGGCTCGCATCCACCTGAATATCCTCCAGTGGCACCACTGTCGACTCATCGGCTATACACTTCCTCAACTGAGACACGTGGAAGGTATCATGAATCTGGCTCAACTCCGCAGGTAGCTCCAACCGATATGCTACCCTGCCCACCCTCGCGGTCACCCTGAACGGACCGATGTACCGGGGCCCCAGCTTGCCCCTCTTCCTGAATCGGATCACTCCTTTCCAAGGAGATACCTTCAGGAGTACGAAGTCTCCCACCTGGAACTCAAGATCGGATCGTCGCCTATCCGCGTAACTCTTCTGACGACTCTGGGCCGTCAGTAACCTCTGTCTAACCTGCTGTATCTGCTCTGTCGTCCGAAGCACTATCTCAGTGCTACCCATCACACGATGCCCTACCTCTCCCCAGCAAATGGGAGTCCGACACCTCCTCCCATACAACAACTCGAAGGGAGGCATACCAATACTCGAATGGTGGCTGTTGTTGTAGGAAAACTCAGCCAACGGCAGATACGTGTCCCAACTTCCTCCGAAGTCTAACACACATGCTCGGAGCATGTCCTCGAGCGTTTGAATCGTCCGCTCACTCTGTCCGTCCGTCTGGGGGTGGTAGGCGGTACTGAAATGCAATCTCGTACCCAACTCCTCGTGGAACTTCTTCCAAAACCTGGAAGTGAAACGTACATCTCGATCTTACACAATCGAGATCGGTACTCTATGACGCGATACCACCTCCCGCACATACGACTCTACCAACCTCTCAGCAGAAGAGCTCTCACTGATGGCAATAAAATGCGCGCTCTTCGTCAGCCGATCGACGATCACCCAAATTGCATCGACACCCCTTGCGGTCCTCGGCAATTTGGTGATGAAATCCATGGAAATATGCTCCCACTTCCACTGGGGAATATCAAGCGGCTGCAACTTGCCATGCGGACGCTGGTGCTCGGCCTTAACCTTGCGACGGGTCAAGCACCTCTCCACAAATCACGTGACATCCCTCTTCATACAGGGCCACCAATAATCTTTCTTCAGGTCCAAATACATCTTAGTGGCCCCGGGATGGATCGAGAACCTCGATCTGTGTGCCTCCTCCATCAAAGTGATGTGCATCCCGCCCGTATACGGCACCCAAACCCGACCCTGAAAGGTCATAAGCCCACGGCTATCGGGCGCTGCGCGGACCTCCTCCGCTGTCAACTGGAAGGCTCTCCCGCGAGCCTTTGGCGCCTCGGCCTTCACTGGCCGACTCTCCGTAGCTCGCACGGCAGCAGGGATAGATCCCTGAGAAGCTCCCTGAGCTGACCCTCGAAACTGCGGACACTCTGCCTTCCGGTGTCCGGTCTAGTTGCAGTGAAAACAAAATGCAAACCCCTTGGGGCAATCCTTGGCCATGTGCCCCTCCTTGCCACACTTGTAGCAAGACCCTGCTCTACAAACTCCCTCGTGATCCTTGCCGCACTTGCCACAAGTGCGGCCCTTCTGGTTCCCTGATCTCGAATCGGCGGGCTTGGCCCGCTTGGCTGCCGGCTGGGACTGTGCCGGTCGCCGATCTCTCCCCTGAGACTCCGCCTCCTCTCTAGCCTGAGTCTCTAGCTCTATCTCCCTCTCCCGGGCATTTGCCTGAAGCTCAGCAAATGTCCGGTATGACGAGTTCGCCACGAACTCTCGTATGTCCCTCCTCAGAATACTCAGATACCGACTCATACATGCCTGCTCGGTAGACACGTGCTCAGGGCAAAACATCGCCCTCTCATGGAACATCCTGGTGATCACAGTAACAGACTCAGTACCCTGCTTGAGGGTCAGAAACTCCTGGGCCAAACGTTCCCTCTCCACCGGGGGAACGTACTTATCACGAAACATAGCGGTGAACCTCTCCCAGGTCACTGCGGCAGACTCTGCAGGTGTGTAGTGCGCTGTCACAAACTTCCACCAGTCCTTCGCTCCCAAGCGAAGCTGGTTCAGCGCGAACCGAACTCTCAGATGCTCCAGACAAGAACACGTATAAAAGCATCCCTCAATATCAGAAACCCATCTCATCGCAGCAATCGGATCCTGCGTCCCATCAAACTCTGGTGGTTTCGTTTTGCTGAACTCTCGGTATAGCAATGAGTCACCCCCCTGCGGCCTGGCAGCAGCGACGGCTGCGGTGGCCGCAGCAACAGCAGCCTCAGTGAGAGCAGCGTACCGCTCATCAAAAGTCTCGATCAACGTGGTCTTGATAGACCCGAACATCTCTGGTATCTCAGCTCGGATGGCCGCGGCCACCTCCTCGTGAATCAGCCTACGGATCTCCTCATCACTGGTACCACTGGTGCCACTGCCCCCTGGGTGATGGCGCGACCCAACCATGATGTCTCTGAAATACAGCACAAAAGGAATCAGAGACTCGCTCGAGTATATTCGCACTCGATACTCGACCCTACTTGCTCTCTTAGTACCCAAAGGATTCTTACTTAGAGTGCGCACTGCTCCGGTGTCTTCAGTAGTACGGGCCCTATACTACCGTCCACACCGCATCAGTATTCACCCTAAGTCCTCCTCCTT